AAAATGGAGATTAAGTAGGACAAAATCTAAGATGGAGGTCGTGTTGAAATCCAATCAAATCAAGTGCGGAATCAACATATGAATCCCGTTTTACACAAATAAATCTGATACTACCTTCCAAGTTTGGTGATGAAAAAGTTGAGTAGAAATCACTGCAACATGATCAATTGATGCCAATGAAGGTGAGACTGGAAGCGAGATGTTAGAAAAGGTAAAATTTGTATAAAGGAAAAAATATAGAAGGTGTTAAACTACCTTGAATGAATGGCTGAAGATGAAAGGATGATAAACACGAAAACGTCATTTTTTAACCTTGAGTTAGTTGTTCCAATGGTCACTGAACTTATGTTCATGTTTTTTATTGGTCATTGAAATTTAAAATTTAGAGTTTTGGTCATTGAATTTAGGTTCATGTCTTCGATTACTCACTAAAGTTTAAAATGTCAAGTTTTGGCCACTGAACTTTGAAAAGTATCGTACGTAACTCACAATAAACTCGATATTTTCCAAAATTCAACATTTATACCAATGAGTAACGTATAGCATTTTCCAAAGTTCAATGGTTAAAACTCGACGTTTTGAATTTCAATGAGTAGTCGATGACATGGACCTAAGTTTAGTGATCAAAATTCGATATTTTAAACTTCAGTGACCAATAAAAAACATGAACCTAAATTTGGTGACCATTGAAACCATTAATTCTTTGACCTTTTCAATGGGTGGAGGAGAAATGGATCGAAGGTCCATAGAAGTCACTTAATTATACTAAATGGGCCATTTGAGCCCATAGCTTATAATTCAATTTTGAATATGCAATTTTTCTTTTTTCTTTTGGTTTTTTAAAGGAATAGAATATTTGATTGAAACATAAAAAATCATTTCCCCTAGTCTTTCGTACACTTAATTATTTTTTGATATACTCCATTACATACACGGAGATGTTTCGATCACCTAAACTTCATATTTCCGACTAGTGCACTTGCAATTGAAGATAGTATAACTTGTATAACAAAATGTAATTTAGAATGATGAGAAAATCTATCAGTTCATGTCAAACTCATAGCAATACTTAAAACTAGTTGTGCAAGTCCATTTTCATCCTAACAACTAGAAATCTTCATCTCTAGCTCTCCCTTCATAAACTTCTCGATATTGTGGTTAGTGGGCCCCACTAATTTTGTTGTAGGGTCATGCTTTGTCTAAAGCACCAAGTCCTTACTTTCCAAATTAATAACCATTTGTCAATGGTATAACATATGTAGGGGCGGACGCAGAAATTTTTAATTAGGGGGCACAATCAAATTTTGTATAAATTGAATACTTTGCTCTTGATTTTTGAAAGATTTATACTCGATGGCTCATCATTTTCATCATTTTGATTTCTAACAGTCATTTTATTAATATTTTGCTCATCACAAGAAAATGAATATTTATGTTTAAAAAATTGTTAGTGTATTTAATACAAACAATTAATTCAAGTGATCGAAAGGAAAAAGATATCACCAATATTCAATCAAATAAATACAATTCGTTAAATTGAATATAATCAGTTCTTCTAGGTACACAAATAAGATAGGAGAAAATGCCAATTCAAGTTCTAATTAATTGAAAATTTGATTAGAAAGTGAAAATTTAAAGTAGATGTGATAATTTGCAGAAAAATTATGGACAATTTTTTTAAAATTAGAAGGATTAAAGTTTTGATAAAAAAGTGTGAGTGAGAGCGTAAGACATAGTAAGAGAAAAGAGAAAAAATTTCAAATTTATTGTGATTTTGCCCCTATTTGGTAGAGTTTTAAAATCAGATTTTTAGTATATTTTGATAAAAAGTAAAAAAGTTAAGGATTCCATGAAATATGTTATTAAAATTAATTGATAACTTTGATTTAGATTAAAATTTAGATTTCAATTGATACCCAAACATGACTTATCCGGAAATATATATATTAGACCCTCCTTG